GGGCAGAGCCCTTCCAAGGCGGGCCCTGTGCAACCGCACAGGTCGCACGCCCCCGGAGCCGCCCCGCCCCTGCCCCGGAGAAGCTCCTAGTCTGATGTGAGGTTCAGAGGAGAAAACCAGCAGTGACAGTGCAGGGGATTGTGCTGAGAGGGAGGGAAGCACAGGGGCCAAGAGGAGGGACCCCTGGGCCAGCCTTGGCTGGAGACAGGGACATTGGGGCCTGAGGGGCAACTGGGAAAAGCTTCCTGGAAAAAATACCACACGAGCCAAAGGAAACCTTGTAAGAGGAAAAGCGGTTTGCTTGGTCAAAGAGAAAAGGTCCTGGAGAAGGTGTGTTGGCAGGCGGGGGTGGAAGGTAACTGGGGAAATGGGGAGGGGCCCAGCCCAGCTAGTGTTCCAGAAGCTCCGGGACGGCCCAGGAGCACTGCTAAAGGGAAGTCCTCCATCTCTGAGGGTGGCTGAACTGGCTCCTCAGCAGGGCCCACGGCACCATAAAAACAAGAGCTGGCATTTACTGAGCTCTCCGTAGGGGATTTTACGAGTATCTAATCCTCTCCTCATTATGATCCTCCCGTTACAAATGAGGAAGCTGGAGATGGGAGGGGGAAGGGATTTGAACGAGAGCCACCCGACTCACCGCCCTACCGCTGCTCTCTGACTCAACCTGCCTGACCCCCGTGGCCCCTACGGGGGGGCCCCAGGTAGAGGACTCGATGACAGTTGGTTGACTGACTGACTGACTGACCAACTGAATGAGTGAGTGAACGCACCCCTGTTCCTCCAGCTTTGTTTTCTTCCCCGTTAGGTGTCTGCAGAGCTCACGAGGCCGCCAGCCCAGGACAGCCCGTGAGTGGGGACTCAGCGCCATGACACACCGTAAGTGGAAAGGAGGGAAGAGCTTGCACACTGGTGGCAGAGGTGAGGAAGCCTTCACACAGGACTGTAAATAACGGGGGGCCACGGAGAGGCAGCACTGGAAGGTTCTCGAACATCAGACGCCCAACAATCCTGCTCGGCCTGCATGTGGATTCCTGGGCCCCCACCCTAGGATGCTGGTTCTGGAAGTCCAGGCTGGGAGCCCAGGGATCTGCATTTTGACAAGTTCCCCGGGTGATCCTATCTGTTCTGAGTGACATCGATGGATAAAGTAGCCAGAGCTGAGCATCTGACCAGGGTTCAAATCCCACCTGCGTGATCTCGAGTGACTTTCTTAACTTCTCTGAGCCTCAGATGAGCAGAAGGCAAGGCTGAGACCCATTTATTTTTCCAGCTGCCCATGGAGATGGGGATAAGGAGAGTGCCTGGTGAAAGAACTCTGAGCATTCGTGCTCTTGGCCCTGGGGATGCAGTAGTGAGTCAAAAAGATGGGTCTCTGCCCTGGGGAGGTGGGGGATGAGGCTCATTACAGCCCAGTGGCCCATCCAGGGCCAGCAAGTTCCCCTGCAGGTCCTGGGCCAGCTCTCTTGTTGGCCCACCTCTAACCCTGAGGCGGGCCGGCTCTGGGCTGGAGGGTGGCTCCAGCCTGCCCTGCTGGGTCCTCGCATCTCCTGTGCCCACCCTGCGCCAAGGAGCTGAGTCATGGAAAAAGTTAGTTCTTCAGGCTGCAGCTCACCTCCCTCCTCCATCAAGCCCACAAAGGCTCCTTTCACATTTTCAGGGGGGTGGGGAGGACTGTGGGGCCCTCTCCCCAGGCTGGGATGTGAAATTTCAAACTTCGTCCTCGAATTAAATTCCCCACCCCCTGGCCCCAAGGAACCTAAGGGAGGAGAGGGGGAGGCAGAGGTGGGGAGGATTGTATCCCCTGAGTTCGCACTGAAGCCAAGCCCCAGGGACCCCCTGGGCCAGCATGCGGCATCGTCCACCCCCTGGCCCAGCGCCCCCTCCACCTCATCTTCCCGGGGACCTGGGGGGTATAGAGGAGGTGACAGACAGCCCCTCTCTGGGCAGCTGAGGATGGAAGAAGCCTGAGGCTCGTGGGGATGCCAGGCCCACAAAACCCACATCCTGAAGGTGCAATGAGTAGAAAAAAGGTGTCAGCTTCTCAGCCACAGTCCAACCCCAGCTTCTTTTAGAATTGCTGGACTTGTTCCTTTTTACTCTGATTTCACCCCAAACCTGATGCTTAGGGGAGGTAAGGGAGCACACTGTGTAGCCTTGAGTGAGTTACTTAGATTTGCCTTGCCTCTATTTCCTCCTGCATTAAATGGGCGCCAGGACGCCCACCTCCTCAGGCTGTCCCATTTCTTACAGGAGAAGATGTGCAATATTCTGATAGGTCAGTCTGGACGTCGGTTCTCCACCTCCTTCCCACCCACTGCGCTCCCTCCATCCCAACACACACCCAAAGAAATGTCAGCAGGACCTAGTGGTCACCCAGCTGGTCTGGCATCTGAACAGGGTAGGGTAGCTGGTTGGGACCAGGGACTTCGGTGGACATGCTTCAGTGTTTACAAGTTGCTTAACATTTCTAGGCTTCGATTTCCTCCTCCGTAAAGCAGCAGGCACGCGGGGAGGAGAAGCTATGATCTTTGCAAGCCCTTTTAGGCTTCGGGCGTTAACCTTACGTGGAGAGAAAGGCCTAGAAGAAAAAGGATAGCTGGTGGGTTAGCAGGAACAGGGGAGGCTGGAGGCTGGGGCAGCTGGGAGGCGCAGTGTCCCATCCCGGCCACTAGGCGGCTCCGAGGATAACAGATGAGAACAGGCTGCGCGCCTGGCTCCAGCTCCAGGCTTTCCCAGTTGCCCTCTTGCAGGCCTGGCGGACACCAGCCGCCACTGGGTGGGAAGGGCCTCTCTCTCCCAGGTTGGGATTTCTTTTCCATTTTACAGACCTCAAAGGTGGGAGGAGGCCGTCACTCTGACGGAGTCCTGCCTTTAGCCATGGCCTGGGAGTCAGATGAAGGCAATGGCCTGCCCATCGGTCATCGGAGGGTTGGGTAGACGCAGGAGGGAGCCTCATCCTCCACCTCCCACCTCCCCTTCTGCCTGAGTGGGGTGGGCTGGGAAGAGGAATCAAGTCTGGATTTGGATGCCTCCCTCCTGCGCTTCCTGGCAGGGGAACCTGGCAAATGGGGATAATAATTCCCCCAGTGCAAGGTCAGTGGGAGGATTAAATGTCAGAATATAACCCTCAGGGTAGGAGAGATTCTCGTCCAGCCCCACTCTTCCAAATCCTTTTTGCTCATCCAGCAGCTCTCCAGATAAAGAGCTCCCCAATTTTCCTGGAAGGAAGATCCTCACCTGCAGAACTCCTCCCCAGAACTAGAGGGTCTCTGCAGCCCAGGAGGTAAACCCCAGGCACCCCTCCCCAAATCAGCATTTCTCAAGGCGACTTTCTCACCCAATCCTTAGCAGAACTACCAGGCGGAGCACTAAACACACTGATTCCAGCGCACCCAGCCCTGCTGAATCAGAACGTCTCGGGGTGAGGCCCAGCTCTCCTCATCTGGACAAGTCTCTCAGTGGTGCTGGAGAACCGCTGCCCGGATTACACGGCAGCTCCCTGGCTCTCCCTGGCTCTCCCTCTCTCCTGACCTGGGACGGTCAGGGGCAGTGGGAGGCAAGTCCCATCAGCAGTTTTAACTGGGGCTGCATTTTAGTGACTCACCTCCCAGACTTCCCACAACAGACAACTCTAAATAGCTGGTCCCACCCTCCAGCAGGGGAGACATTCTTGTTGGGGAAGGGCAGGAGGTCACAAGGTAGGTGCCCCGCCAGGGCAGCCCCAGGAGACCCAGAGAGAGAAGTCACTGCCTGCACAACACAGGGGACACTGGTTTAGGACGTTTTGTTTACAAGCTTTTGTTATTAAGGAAATTGCTGTCAGTCAAGGTAATTCTAGCCCCGATGAGCAATAAATATGCTCCCAGCTAATCTTATGGGGATTTTATTGGCACCTTGGGGGCAGAGGTTCCTTTACCCTGCCCACCTCCTCCCCTCAAAGCAAAACCCTGCTCCCCAGCTGTTTCCCCGCAGCAACGTCAGGGACTCGGGCAAACTTAGAAAGTGCACTCTAAGTGAAGACAGAAGATGTCTGGGCAAAGGTCGGGAGTGGCTTCCTGGTCCTACCTGGAGGGAGGGAAATGACCTGAAATAAACCCTGGGCAACTTGGTCGGATCGAGGCATGCGCGAGCTCCCCTGGGCCTGCCCCGCACGCAGGGGCGGTCACCTGGCCCACGCGCGCCCCAGCCCGGGGAGACCGCGACCCGGGCAAGGAGGAATGTCTCAAGGAGGGAGCCGGTTCGCAAGAGTCTGTTCCAGCGTGTTTGAGTTACTGCTGCGAGCCCTCAGGGGCACCGCCGGCAAGTCCCGGCTTGCAGAGAGGGGAGCAGCCCTGGGAGAGCGCGAGTCGGAGCGAGCCCGTGTGCGCGCCCGCGCGCGCGCCCCGCGACAACGCAGGGGGAGGGGAGGCCGCGGCAGCCACTCAGAGGAAAGAGAGTGAAGCCTCCGACCAACTTTAACTGTCAATCAGACTTAATGGGGTATTAAAAAAAAAAAATGGGGGGAAAAAAAAGGCCGCCCTCTCGCTCCGCGCCGCTGCTGCCCCGGGAGCGAATTAATAAGGCGGTGCAGACGAGGGGGTCCGATCCACGCGCGCTCCGCACCCGGGCCCTCTCCAAGTTGGAAAGGACAAAAAGAAGGCAATAAATGCTAACAAGGGAGAGAGGGAGCCGGATCGAGCAGCAACTCCCAGCCTCTGCTGGAAGAGAGAGGGAGGGAGGGAGCCGGAGAGAGCGAGCGCGCGCGAGGGCGAGCCATGCACGTAAAGAAACTGACACCCGGACCCCCCACTTCTCCTGCACGTTGCTGGCAATCAGATCGCGTTTAAGCAATTTCCTGAGCCCAAGAATAGCAATGAGTCGGGAGACTTTCGCGGACTGAAATTGGGAGCTCCAAGCACTTTTCCCCCTACTTTTTTTTTTTTTTTTTTAATTCCTGGAGAAGGGGTGGGGGGGCGCTACAATTTGGAAACGGTTTTTTTTTTTTTTTTTTTAATCTTGCACTTTGAAACCGCAGGACTGTAGCAGTGTGCGCGCGTGTGGTTGGTGCCTTTTTTTTTTTTTTTTTCCTTCCCCTGCCTAAACTCCTCTGTCAGCCTGTAAACATTACCTGAGAATTCCCCAGCCGAAACGGCTGCTGGGGCAAGAAACTTCTCGTTAGAACTTTCCACCTCCAGCTTCCCCTCCACCCCTCTTACTGTCCCAACCTTCTGAGACGCTTTCTCTCCTCCCGAGGAGGGTTTATCTTTTTTTTTTTTTTTTTTCCTTTTTCTCACCCGGTGTTTTGCGTTTGGGAAGAGGTGATTTCAAGAGTGGCTAGGTGGGACGCCTCTCTCCCCCTCTTTCGGTTTATTTATTATTGTTTGGGGTGTTTTCTTTTTTAATTCCTGTTTTGTGTGGTCTGGGGAGTTTCGCTCCCCCTGCCCGGCTCCGCGGCGCGGAGGATGGTGTGGAAATGGCTGGGCGCGTTGGTGGTGTTCCCTCTGCAGATGATCTATCTGGTGGCGAAAGCAGCCGTCGGACTGCTGCTGCCCGCCAAGCTGCGGGACCTGTCGCGGGAGAACGTCCTTATCACCGGCGGCGGGAGAGGCATCGGGCGCCAGCTCGCTCGCGAGTTCGCAGAACGCGGCGCCAGAAAGGTACCGGTCACTGCGCGTCCAGGGGGTGCGGGCTGGAGGTGAGGGAGGCCCCGGGGGCGGGGGTGCGCCCACCTGCTGCCGCTGCCGGGACGCGCGCCCGGGGTCTGAGAGTAGCCGGCCACCCCACTTCTCTGTGCCACCCGCGAGGGCTGAGCTGGTCAGTTTCACCTTGTACATTTCCCGGGCACCGGACTGTCTTTTCGCAGGTCGGGAGCTGATCCGCTCCTTTGGGATCGGTGGCTGGCTGGCTGTTAACCCCTACCCCGAAACTTAGGAGACCCACCCATTTCCCACATTCCTCCCTCCTAAAGGAAGGTGTTATGTTTTCCCCCCTCGCCTGCCCCTCTCTGCCGCCACCCTGGTGAGTGCAGGGTGTGTGCGCTCCTGGGTAGAGCTGGGAGCCGCCTGCTAGCTGGCGCTTCGTATTTTCCTTGGCAACTCGCTTCCCAGCCCCAACCTGGGCGACTGCAGCTCCGGAGGCAGGAAGAGAGGGGATCGTTGGTTTGGGTTTGAAAAGGGAGGAGCGGTGTTGGATGGTCTAGCCTGGCCTGACAGACACTCAGAGGCCCAGGTGTTTGGAAATCTGGAACTCGGGGCCAGGTCTAACCTGCAGCTGATAAAGAGCCCTTGTTCTCACCTTCAACCCTGCCCCCTCCCCCCAAATACAGCCCCAGAGGGGATCCTTCCCCATTAAGAGGGGAGGTGGCCCTGTGGGGAGAGCCCTCCCCCCAAGGCTGCCTTTAACTTTTCAGCAGTCCCCTCACCTCTTCCTCCAGTTGTCCCAGACCTGGTGCCGGAGAGTGGGGAGGGCCATCCGGCTGTCACCCAACTCCGGCCCAAGCCAGGCTGACTCACCCAGTGACTAGAGCAGTGGAGAGAGAGATCTGAGGCGGGCAGGCCGGGCTGTCTCCAGCCAGCCCTGAGAAGAGGAACAGCAAAAACAGGGAATTAGTTTGAAACTTAAACTGTTGTGAGCCAGGGGGGTGAAAGGGCCAGCAAAGCCAGCTGATCTGACATGGAGCCACATACCTAGGGGATTAAGTAAATATGTACTGTAGAAAACCAAACCTGCATATAATTCCAGGTTGCTTTTGTTTTGTTAAATACTGCCCTGAGATTTACAATTCCTCCGGGGTGGCTCCGCTGAACTTTGGAGCCCGAGCTATCAGCCCAAGCTAATCGCCATTAACTCTTCCCTCGCCGGGAGGGCCAGCGGGGTCCTGTGGCGGTGGAGCTGGCTGGAGTCGGTGTCCCGGCTCCTGCTTCTCCTTGGGTGGTTTGGACAGCTGCTTGACCTTGCAGTTGGAGGGGAGTTCGGAAGTGTTTTTAACCCTTGGACACACCGAAAAAGGGGAAGAGTTGTTCTCAGCGGTTTCATTTCCTTGGGGTGATGCCCCACGGAAGGGCTCCCAGAGCCCTTTGTGGAGGGTGTCGTTGCAGGGGGCTGTGGGGCTGGGGACAGTCTCCTGTGGTTGTCATTCCTTAGCTGTCTGCATCTCGCAGAAACTGTTCTACTCTTCCAGCTGGCCCAAGTCCTGGGTCTCCTTTATTGCTCTTGTCACTGGCGGCGGTAGGCATATGAAGAACTCTCTTAGTCAATCTGGAAAAACTTGACTGACTATAAACAAGCCTAAATTGAAAGAAGTATACAGTGTTGGGGGGAGGAGGGTGGAACAGTGCAGAGTGGCACCCTGTACAAGTTCGTGCACTGGGAACCACGCCCCACCCAACTTGGAGTGGACATCCTCTTCCAGGGAATGAACCCAGGGCCAATTAGAAATATGTCTGAAATTGGTATCAGGTCGCTCAAAACAGGATCCGTGGGGCTTGTGAAACTGCCAGTGCCATTCACCCCGGGTTCAGTCGTCAGACCAGTCAGGACGACCAAAAGTGCTCCCTCCAACTCTGTAATTATCTGACCAGTTACTGGAGCTACGTGTTAATGAGCCTTCCGCTTGCTGTCCGGGGTGGGGAATTGGGAATCAAGCCTTCTTGCCTGAGTCCATCTGGGGCCAGGGAGAGGGCCCTGGACAATCCCCAGAGCTCGGAGTGTTTGGGGATGTGGTCTTGGGGACAAAGGGCCAAGTGTTGTGGAGTGGGAATTTATGGGAGCCCGCTGAGTGGGTTGTGTGAACAGCGGGCTTAGGGTGGACCTGGAGCCGCGGGGGAGGGCAGCGCCACCCACGGCTGGCAGTGGTGTTAGGCAGGCGACCGTGTGGAACCACAGATGACCCTCCTTCTCCTCTGGTTGGAAGTAGAGGCTGCATCTGAGAGCCCTTCCAGCCTGGATTATGGTGGGATTGGACCTGGGTGGGAAAGGCCCCCAAAAGACAAAGAAGAGAGAAGGACCAGAGTCTCTGCAAACAGCTGGCATGTCCACGAGAGGTCCGTTTACTTTGTGGGGGGAGTGACAAGCCAGTTTCCTATGATGACCTTGAGTCAAACAGGATTTGGCAATATTTATGGGTGGCTGTGTGCCATAGGCTGCAAAGGTGACCCAAATGTGGGTGTTTCTTAAAAGGACACAGAGGCTCCCGGAGATGGAAAGTTCCTCACCTGGAGACATCTCTCCTTACCCACCATGTCCCAAGGTTAACTAAGGCAGGGCCAGTCATGGTTAGGGGCTCTAAGGGGAAGGCTCTTGCTGATTGCCCACTACACTCCTGTTTTATTTTCTATGTCCTCCTGGAATTCCTCCCATGAAAGCATTCATAGAGCTTGGGCCCATCCCTCTCCCCGGTGAGGCTCCTGGCTAGCTAGGCAGCTGGCCCAGCCTCCAAAGTCTTTGACCTTGACATGGTTTTAGCAGGAGCCCCTGGGAGGAGGAGAAGTGGGCTGGCTGTTTGGACGTATTCGCAGTGGCTGTTCCAGCCTTTGCTCTAGTATGAGGCAGGTGGCTGGGCTAGAGCCCTGGGCCGTGATTGCAGGCCTGTGGGGGCACCCTCCAGGGCCCATTCCCTCCATCAAGGAGGGGAGAGCTGAGACCCAGGGACCCATTTCAGGGGGGGAGTATGAGAACGGGCTCAGAGTTGTTGCATCCGCCTTGCTATTATTAAATTTTCAGTACATGGGTCTCTAGCCCTGTCCTAAAGCAGCAAGCCAGGAACGGGCCCTTTATGGAGATTTGTGAATCCTATTCTCCACCACATCCATTCAGCAAATCCCATATCCTTCCCATTCCTGGCACTGGGGCAAGTCCGGGCCCCACTGTTCCATGACAATGGTCTTTGGGAGACCTAGTTCGGCAAACCGGCCTGAGGTGTCTCTTGGGTATTTGACACTGCTCTGGGCCAGGAGAGGGCTGGGTACAACAAAGATGAATAAAGACGCAGAGACATGGCCAGGTGCTTACAGTTAAGGCACAAATGACAGCGTGTATTAGTTTTCTATGGCTGCCATAACAACTTACCACTAACTTGGTGGCTTACAACAATAGAAATTGATTCTCTCCCCATTCTGGAGGCCAGAAATCTAAAATCAAGGTGTTGGCAGGGCCCTACTCCCTCCAAAGACTCTGGGGGAGAATCCTTGCTTGCCTCTTCCAGCTCCTGGGTCTCCTGGTTGGTGTTCCTTGGCTCATGGCAGCATCACTCCAATCCCTGCCTCTGTGTTCATGTGGCCTTCTGCTCTGTCTCTCCGTGTGTCTCTGTGTCCTCTCTTCTTCTTATAAGGACCCCAGGCATTGGATTTAGGGCCCACATTAAATCCAGTATGACCTCATCTTGAGGTCTCCAATTACATCTCCAAAGACCCTATTTCCAAATAAGGGCACATTCTGAGGTTCCAGGTAGACATCAATTTTGGGGGGACACTACACAGAGGAAGCCCAGTGGAACTGTTAATCTATAACGAGGGGTCACGGAAGGCGTCATGAAGGAGGTGGCATTTGAGTAAGCCTTGAAGAAGGTCAAGAGTTTCAACCAGAAGGGATGTGAGAAGGGCCGACCAGGTGCAGGAAACCACCTGATTAAAGACTGTACATGGCTGAAAGTGGGGGAGGGAGGCAAAGGCAAAGAAAGAAATATTGTAGAGTGGCTTAGGGAGCAGGGGAGGTAAGCGGGAGTTTGTATCTCAGACTCTGAGTTAGGCCAGTACTGATAAGAACAGGAAGAAGGAGACAGAGAGAAGAGGGATCCAGACGTAATCTTGTGGGACTCAGAGTCATCAGGCCAAATAGCTGCATTAAACGATTGATAGGTGATGAAGGTCACAAAGCCAGGAGTGGCATGGGAGACGCAGTGGTCCATCTCCCCCATCCTCATCCTGAATGTAGCCTTTGCTGCAAATTTCTGGGAGAAGTACCGGGCTCCCATCTGATGTGGCCTGGGAGCAGGGAGGTAGGCCACCTGTCCTACTGTGGCATCTAGGAAAAGTCTTTCAGCTTGTAGTATCTGGTCCTTGGCTTTGAGACAGTGGGCCTTACAATTTGTGCTGTCTCCTGAATAGACAAACACTCCCTCTCTCTGCCCCACTCTTTTCCCCTGGGGAACAAAGGCAACCACATCTGGGGTCACCCCCCTGCAGCCTGCTCCCCTGGGCTGAGAGGCCAGAGACTGGGTTCTAGACTCAACTCTTCTGTGACCATGGAAAGGTCACTGCCTTCTCCAGGCTACAGCTAAGAAGCACACCCATAAAGTGAGAGGGGACGCCATGATCCCTAAGGATCATCCCTGGCGTGCTCCAAACTTCTCATGTTAGGATCAGCCATCTCAGGAAAGCAACCAATTGCCAAGCTCCTTGAGTTCAGAGGAGGAGACTTCTGCAAAAAACATTTGTCCTCATCACTGACGGTCTCAGCCTCTCCTGCTGATCTAGTCATCAGATCCCACTGAATGAAAAAGAAGCAACTCACAGTTGGGAACTGTGCCCTCGGTCAGAGGAGCCGTACGCCGTTTCCAAACTTACTCATGGCTCCCAGGTAGCCATCTGCCATGGGTTTATTTCAACTCTTGTAGGAGATGTCAGTGTTTTCCACCAGTAGTTTCAAAGGAACGAGAGGCCCAAGTTTCCCAACTCACGTGTCAAGCAGAACTTCCAGTTTTTATCCTAAAATCATCAAATTGTCTATTTGGGCTTCAGAGAATGTCGCCCAGATGTAGAAATACTGAACCTGAGTCAACAAGTCCATCTTCGTTTGGTCTTAGTAGCCCAACTGCTAATTCGTGTTCAGACTCCAGCCTCCTCTGAACTTTCCGGTTTTCAGAGCCTGGGGCATTTGTTTATTCCTGCGCAGAGCCCTCTGCTCTCTGCATCATTATGGTCACTTTCTCTGCTCCATTTCCGTCTTGTGATTTGTTGAGGTCATCTCTTTGAGAAAGTGATCTTAGCCATATTTAGAGAAGGTAGACGTTAGCCATCCTTTACTCCTCAGGAAAGAGATCTGGTTGTGGCAATCCAGCAACTTGTCCCTGAGGCCTTATCCCAACCTGCCCCCATCAAAATCCAGTGTAGTTCTGGGCCTCAGTGCAGGAAAGATTCCAGACACGACATATTCTCCTTTATCCTTGGGCAAGAGCATGACCACACCTAAAATGTTATAAGATATTCTCCTTGTTGCCTTCCGAAGACACAATCTACAAATACACCAAGTATGTAGGATATGTGAAAAGAAACATTTGAAACATATTATTCAGATGAACTATGAAGGTCAGGAAACAGTTGAAGCCAAATGAAAAGGAGAGAAGGGGATCTACCGAGATGCCAGCACTCTCGAATGTACGCTCATCTGCTGTGGGATGAGTGAGGTCCCCTAAAATGAGCGAGGTATTAGAGTTCTGAAAATGCGTGCGTGTCAGAGTCTCAGAAAGGGAGTGCCACACTACCAGAACAGGGTAGCAAGCGAATGGTGGGGTGGGGACGCGTTCATTCATTCAACAAATCTATGGCACACCTCCTATGCCCCAGGCACTGGGGATACTGCTGTGAGCGAAGCAGACAGAAATCCCCACCATGTAGATCCCACAGTTTACTGGGGGAGACAGATCTTAAACAAGATACATAAAATAGTGCTAAGAAGAAAACGGACGAGGCAAGGCAGACAGAGTGGACAAGGTGGGAATGGAGGGAGCTGCATCCCAGAGGGAGGAGAGAGGTGCTCTGAGGAGAGACTGTGCCCGGGGTATTTGGGGGACTGCGAGGAGGCCAGTGTGGCTGGGGCAGGGCAAGCGAGGGGGAGAGGAGGAATAGGGCGGGTGGGGAGCAGGGCCCCACAATCTCTAGAACCATTTTTTTGGCTT